TCTATGCCCCGCCTTTCTGAAACGCGTTGATTTTTACAAAGCTCATCGGTCTGAAAAGCGAGGTGTGCTCTGATTGGCCAGCTATCCAGTGCGTTGTGATTGGCCGAATACCTCAGGCGTGTGACGGAAATTTACGCCCCTCACCATATTTGGAACACACAGAGTCTCCACGACAACAATACTACAGCAAGAATAAAAGTTATTCTTTGCGTCTTTGCGTGCACATTTATGCAAATCTTCCCACATAGTGAGGTAGATATGTGGGGGCGTGTTAGAACGAGGGGGGGCGTGGCCCTATCCCCCAGTTAAACTCAAATAACTATCTAGTAGGGTTGAACGATTGTGGAAAATAATCTAATTGCGATTTTTTTTTTACCAATATTGCGATTGCGATTTAATATGCAATTATTTTTTAAAGCTCTTTATGTTCTGTATTATTCAACAAAGACAAGCTATAAATCATTGTATAGTAGGCTATGACCAACACAATATTAGATAGATTAAACAAAAATGTTATTTTCTGTAGGCCAGGCCTATATGTTATGATGAAATTAGGTGATGCATGAATTGATATGAATGACATTTTTATGTAACAACTACAATCACATTGACTGATTTGTTGAACTTCCAACCTAGTAAGCATGTAATAATTATGACAACATAAAGCACTGACAAATAAGCCTGGTGTAAACATTAATACGAAAGTCAGTAACAAATCACACAAACTAAAGTAGATTGCAGAAATATAAAAACAAATCTGTTGCTTTACCACACCGCTTTTAGTCACTGTAATAAACATATGTAAACATGTGGCCTGCACTAAACACTGTCGGTTAACTTTAGACCAGTGCTTCTCAAACTTTTTTGGTCGCACCCCCCTTTAAACCTATTAAAAAATCTGAATATAAAAAAAATTAAAAATGTATGCTTTTTTAATTTAAAAAACTTACAGGGGAAAAAAAACCCTGCATCACTTGAAACATTGAAAAATAGCATAGAGAGAATAACTGTTATTATTCTCTCTCTGTTATTTACTCTGTTATTACTACACCGGATGCGAGCGGCAAAATACAGTAGAAATATTATAATCAGTGACACTGTCTAGCGCGGACGTCTCCTTATGCTTTCTCTCACCGTACTTTGATGTCAAACACCGATCGATCTTCAAGTCTAACACACCTCTTTACTCTGAGTGTAATCGCAGCCTCTGTGATTGAAAAATCTAATTTTTTCATATCGCGATATTATCGCAAATGCAATGAATCGTTCAGCCCTACTTGTAACACTCCAAAGAGAGAGGAAAACTTGAAATCGCTTCATATGACCCCTTTAAGTCAAATGCTTTAATCAATCTCAATGCTTAGCCATTGTTTCTGCAAAGACAGAGCAGTAGACATGCATCTACACAAAAACTGCATAATCACTTAAAAACAGGAAATAATTAAGAGTGTGAAGCTGCATTATCATAACAAAATTACTACTGGTGATTATTGCTCTTGATATTGTAATAATGATTTTTAATGTTGATTAATAGGACGTTTTGTGGGGATTCTGGCTACAGACAAAACAAGCTAAGAACCATTTCTACATTTGTTCATTGCTTTTTACGGATTAGAAAATCAAGGCTTCACGTTGTTTATTCCAGTAGCATGAAAATCTGAGTAGTTATTTATACTGGGGATAAATGAATGTGTGGGATCAATTATACTGTGCAACACTACAAGCCACGTGCAACAAGAAATCTGATGCAATCAATGTGAGAAGATCTACTGTAATCGACATGTTCGTTCATTTCACATTAATCAAGACCGCTGTAATCGATCTAGCTTAATTGGGCATGGGCATATTTGGCCACCTTATCTTGAATTTTTGCCCCAAACCTCTGTTAACTTCCAACCCTGCTGCACACACAACATGTATGAAACTCCACCGTAGGGTGGTTCACATTAAAGCGAAATACATGTGTCGAGATCTCTGTGCTGCGTTGACTATGTGTGTGTGTCAGACACAGACACAGACACTCTCTCTCTAAAGATGTGCTTCACAACCCATGGCTCACAGACATGTAATTGCGTACTGAAACATTCAAGTTTTGAAAAGGAGGAGAAAACTTGACATTTCTTTTGTTCTTGATGAAGACAAGTGGCACTTTTTGATTTGATTATTTCTGCTGTCCCTGATGCGCACTGAGACACTATGGGAATGTATTTATTTGACAGGGACTGAGCACATTAACTAACAGAAACAAAACTGCAAAAGAGCCAGAGTTAGCCTTAAAAGCCATTTTCATCTGTAATCCTTGGTCAACATAAATGTAAAAAAAACCTCATAAACATATCATAGAATAATCACAATTACATTAAAATCATAAGATATCAAACGAATCATGTTCTAGAGCTCACATAGTTGACTATTGACAAGCCACAGCTTCAGTTTAACAGTGAAAGAACGGGAAGAGTTTGTTTCTCTAATGTACGCTGGGATGAACAGAAAGGATGTCAAATCTGTTGTTTTAACAATGTTAAAGGTGACATTATAAACTGTGTATGTCACTCACAAACAAAAACACACACCATGTGAGTCCATGCATTCACTGTGTGATGTGGCCTATATTAGAATCACCCCCATATTCAATATATAGAGGAAAAAATGAGTGAGATTTTGTCTTATATTTCTATATGACATAGTTAAGCAACATCTCACAAGCAAGCTTGCTATTTTTTTCTGAATATCAGCACAACTGCAAATGTGATTTTATACAACAGTTCAACAAACATTATCATTAAAAAGTTAATATAGCAAATTACATTTTAGACACAATATTGTCACCAGTGAAAATAGTTCCACACAAAGCCACAGCAGAACTGTTGAGTGTCTCTGAGCAATACAGTGGTGATTCACTACTGAATGAATCAAGTGCATTTGAACGAATCAATGATTCGTTCTTAAAGACAGCCACTGCATTCCATTCTGAAGGGCTCATCAACATTAATTCAATATTCAAAACACTATTTTAAAGCATTAATCACATAGCATTCTTTATGCAACTGTAATTGCAGTGTAAACACATCTAAATGCCACTTCAGATGCAGCTTCTGTGCCACTTCTGCTGTGCAAAGATGGATTTTGTTTATATTGATTTCATCTGATTGCTAACAGCCTATAGTGTCTTACTGTAGCTGAATTTATTGATTAAATGTAAGAACTTGACATAAAGATGATGCATACCTCTAATAAGGCTAGAGAAAACTGTCCTTATAAAGGTCAGAAAACCCCCCCAAAAAGTTTCCGTCACTGCTGTGAATTGACCAAGACACCAGCACACAAACAATCAGCTAAATATCGTCTAATGATCCGTACTGAGATATTATTTATTGTCAGCATGGCACATGAGAGGCTCTGCTGTAAGCATGACTCTGTCACTGGCTCCGGCTCGTACCTCTGGGTTGGTGATTGGCACCGAGACAAAGTAGTTTGGGCGAGCCGTCTCCTTCTTCTTCTTCTTCTCACCATCCTCCTCACTCTCCACTCGAGCGCCGTGTCCTCTCTTACGCTTCTTCTTCACGCTCGATTCTGCACTGGAGACTGAAACACAAAGACAACCAAAAATCAAACATTTCACCTCATTTACACAGCAAATACACAGAAAGTCAAACGGTGACTAATCCGACGGACCCTCGTCACGGCTGGTAAACCTCTAGAGTGGTGAACGGACACTACGACAAATATCATTTTCTTGCATTTCAGTTTGCACTAATAGCAAAAATCCATGATAGCATTTCTATGACTTTCCAAAAGAGGGGAAAAACACATTTGCTAGAAGAGAAAAATGTCAGATTTGCTGTTACTTTTTCCAATTGTACTATAAACATTAACTAGATTTCTGTAATTTAATGTCAGTGTAATATAACACAAAGTGTGTCGTTATGAATGCACATTGCTTCCACTGTCAGTGAATGAGTGAAGCTGATCATGTGACTCTCTGTACAGGCTGGCAGACTGAAGCTGGAGATCTCAAATCATGCTGGAGAACATGATCATCAGGTTCAGTTCTGTGCTATTCATTCGAACGCCGATGCTATCATTTGCATTAGAAACAGGAGCATGTTCACTAGTCAGACTTCTAAGAATGTGAGCGCCATTGAGAAGCAAACACTGACAAACGTGAAGAAGCATTGCTGAACTCTCCGGGAGAGAGAGACGCCGCACAACAAATGTTTTATTCATAGCATGTAGCCAGCTGGGAAATTTGAATGCAAGAGCAGCTGCGGTACAAGGACGATCCACGTCTCGCCTGGCAACCAAGCATCACCGCTCTCTCACTGTCTGCCTTGCACACAGCGCTTCACACAATGATTCCTCCACCTGGAAGACGAGACTAGCCTACAGGAGCCGGATCGCACCGCCGCTCTGAAAGGTAAGTCGGCTCTGCTGTTGTTCTAGGAGCAAGTGTGGACTCACAGCCCAGCTCCTTCCAGACCTCTGTGTTCACGAAGGGAAGCTCGGACATCAGGCTGCAGGCGCTTTCTGCCTCCTTCTGCTTCTTCTTCTTCTTCTTGCCTGCCACTCTCTTTGGCTCTTTCTTTGCTTTTTTGACCTTCTTGACTGCTACAAAGAAAAGAAAGACAGCAAATAAGGACAGAAAAGCAACACGGCTGGTGCTTATAGACTCACAGATGTTTGCATTCTGCCTATAGATAACAAGCTGCTGCAGGTTTTACTTTGGATATCAAACCCAAACCAAATACTGTCGAACTGAAATACCGCATAGGCCTGATGCATTCCAAATACCTCTCGAGCTGAGATGGATTGATTTTGCATTCACAGCACAAAACACGCTTTTCCAGAATGCAGCTGCTTGCATATTTAGTCTGGCTGGCATTTTCTTAAAGTTGTATGTTTTTTTGAAGAAACGCAACATGTTCATGTTGGCAGGATGACTGTGTGCCAAAATACTGTAGCGTTTGATTGGACATCAAACACAAACGATATGGGAAGCACTTTAAAAAGTTGACAAGTCTATTGTTTTTGCTACTGTAACTACACATGGCTTATAGACTCACAGATGTTTGCATTCTGCCTATAGATAACAAGCTGCTGCAGGTTTTACTTTGGATATCAAACCCAAACCAAATACTGTCGAACTGAAATACCGCATAGGCCTGATGCATTCCAAATACCTCTCGAGCTGAGATGGATTGATTTTGCATTCACAGCACAAAACACGCTTTTCCAGAATGCAGCTGCTTGCATATTTAGTCTGGCTGGCATTTTCTTAAAGTTGTATGTTTTTTTTGAAGAAACGCAACATGTTCATGTTGGCAGGATGACTGTGTGCCAAAATACTGTAGCGTTTGATTGGACATCAAACACAAACGATATGGGAAGCACTTTAAAAAGTTGACAAGTCTATTGTTTTTGCTACTGTAACTACACATGATAATATGTGTCCCTGGAGCACAGAAGCAGTGTTAAGTCGCTGGGGTATATTTGTAGCAATAGCCAACAATACATTGTATGGGTCAAAATTATAGATTATTCTTTTATGTCAAAAATCATTAGGATATTAAGTAAAGATCATGTTCCATGAAGATATTTTGTAAATTTCCTACCGTAAATATATCAAAACGTAATGTTTGATTAGTAATATGCATTGCTAAGAACTTCATTTGAACAACTTTAAAGATGATTTTCTCAATATTTAGATTTTGTTGCACCCTCAGATTCCAGATTTTCTAATATTGTCCGATCCTAACAAACCATACATCAATGGAAAGATAGTCTATTCAGCTTTTCAGAATATAACTTATAACTGGTTTTGTGGTCCAGGGTCACATATTGTTGCATTTAGCATTGATTTTCCTCCAGACCAAGACCCATTCAGCACCTACAACCAGTGTTTGTGTTCAGTGGACCTGACTTCACACCTCCACTAAAAAAATCACCAAAACACAGCTGATTTATACACACTAAGAGTTCAAAAATGAAGGAAACCCATTTATAGTGTCAAAATATTATTTGGCACCGCTGTGCATTAAGTCAGTCTTATAAAATGAAGCCTTAAATCAAATGATTTGGCATCTATTCCTTTAGTCAAAGCTTGAGGTACAGCACAGGACACGTGGACAGTAGCATGCATGCCTCACCCTGTGTAGTGTTGATCTGCTGTGTAGTGCTGTGTTGTTGTTGTGTGGACACAGAGTTATTGTTGATCTCCTCCATGATGCTGGCCTGCTCTTGTGCACACGCTATGGCAGGCTGTAGCCTCACACAACAGTGTCTCTGAGCTCTGACACACAGCTTCACCTGAGCAGACTGGATCAGTGCTGGCTGAAGATCTGCATTCAACAGCCGAGTGTTCAACAGTGCTCTAGCGAACAGAACGTAGCGGCTGATCATGTCCACACAAACTATCCGGGTTGTTTCTGGGACAGTCAGCTGCACTGTTGTATGTCGTCAGGCGTATTTCTGCATTTACTGCACTGCAGGAATCAGGATCAGCTTTCGTGTTAAAAACAGACCTCTCAGTGTTTACCGCACGCAACACGACACACATGTTACGGGTAGTCAGAGGGGACACGCGGTGCTCGACGAGAAAGCGCTTCGAAAAACAACGGAAGGAATCCTTTACACACAACTGAACATTCTGACATAATTTATTCGCTGTCGTGTAGTTTCAAACCTGATCCCCCCCCCCCCAGTGGAACACAAAATAAAGATGCACGATATGGACAAAAGTATAGAGACACCTGACCAACATCGCATTCTAAATCCATAGACATTAAAGGTGGGGTAAGCGATTTTTAAAAACGCTTTAGAAAACCGATTCGGGCCGACTAGCAAAACAAACTTGTAGCCAATCAGCAGTAAGGGGCGTGTCTACTCATGATGTGGAGGAGAGAGGGTTCAGTGCACAGGACAGAAAGATAGAGATGGCGGATAAAAAACAAAAGAGGAAAACGTCTGCGGGACAAAAGAAGGCTTAAGGCAAGAAGTAGGACCCGTGTAAATATGGGATCAGCTTTCCAGCGCTGGAGAGAACTCAAGCAGCGGAGGCCTGCGATCGGACGCCGAGGCTGCTCTGTTTCTTCTCGGTCGGTGAGTAGCACCGTGTCTGCGCCGCAACAGCTGTTGAAAATCATTTGAAATTTGTGTCAATACGTCATGAATGGACAAGAAAAGAAGTTGATAATATAGCATAATGAGTGATTTATAAGAAATTTTTGAGGCCGGGTCCTTTTTGCTCTGTAACCTCGTTAGTGTAAAGGGTTGTGAACACAACACAAGGTTAAAGGATCTATGCACAGCAGTATTGGTGTGTGTACTGTAGGAGCTAGACGACGTATGATGACGTGTGACGGCATAGTAGAGGTGTCCCAATTCTTAGAGGAATATTTTCACCCCTACCCCTTGACACTCTGTGGAGGGGAAGGGGTATAAAACAGAATTGGTATTGGGCAAACAAAAAAAGAGTTGGGAAAACACATGTAAAACTTTTTATGTTCCTAAAAATATAAATATTCTTTAAGCAAAATGTAATTTTCTTTTGATTTTGTGACATATGACCTGAATCATTTTTTGACAATTCACCCCATGATGAAGACTTGGCTCATGAATATTAATTACATAATTTGACATTTACCCAGCAGGATTAACTGTTTGGCTGAAATGCTGGTAATTGATAGTCATAATTATGAATCCTACTATTGTGAAGAACTGAAATAAACAGCAATTAGGTTATGGACAGGACAGTTCAGGCAGATTAACAGGCAACATCAGCCTGACCAAATGAATATTCATGAGCTCAGCCTTTGCCATAGTAGAAGCTGTATCTTAGTGTCTTGAATTGTTTTTTTTTGTTCTTTGTATCCAGCAGCGCTTCCTTCAGCCACACCGAGGCCTTCTTTTCCAAACATAATTCAGTCAAAACTCTCAGCCTTGTCAAAACATGACACAGGCAAGGAAAAGATTTGCCTCACAATCCAATGATTCATTATCATGCTATTAAATATTCTTGTTATTCTTCATTAATTAACCAGCACTAAATCATATAGCCCTATATCAAGAGTGATATTGCCATATTTGTTACCTATTAGGCGATACTTATTTTTCATGTACGTACATTCTCTGGATAAATGAAGATATACTGGACGTTTTTAACATATAAATCCCCATAAGAAAATTTGTACACGTTAATAATATTTAGCTATATGATTTTTTCTATATGGTAGTATATGTAGCCTAACATACATATTTATTTCTAAGGCACACCTGTGCAATAATCATGCTGTCTAATCAGCATCTTGATATGCCACACCTGTGAGGTGGATGGATTATCTCGGCAAAGGAGAAGTGCTCACTAACACAGATTTAGACAGATTTGTGAACAATATTTGAGAGAAATAGGCCTTTTGTGTACATAGAAAAAGTCTTAAATCTTTGAGTTCAGCTCATGAAAAATGGGGGCAAAAACAAAAGTGTTGCGTTTATAATTTTGTTCAGTGTATATATATATATATATATAAGAAATTATTCCCTTTTCAAATAAGCTTTTATATTTATGACAACATATTTCATGAAGATTATTAATACATATGCATCTATTGGATATGCATATGGGGAACAACAAAAGAGAACAAGCAGAAAAAGGCAAAGACAAAGTTGAAATCTAAACAGAAACTCTTCTGCATATTCATCCAATGCTTTCTGGATGCTGTGAAGGCTTCGTGATTTTGGCTCTGTTTGTTCTGACCTTGAATCTATTGAGTGATTCTTTTCACTTTCACAAACACTGTGTAAGTGAGCACACGCACTGGATTCAGATAGCGCAGGGGTTGTCTGCAGTGTTGTAGAGTGGCAGCGGTGCGTCTCTGTTATTGGCTGGTTTGTGTTGTGTAACATCAGACCGCTGCTTGGGTTTCAGGCCGCCGAGGGCCAGCTCGACTTATCCAGGCCAAGTTCACAGGCGGAGCAGCAAACAGGTGTAAAGGAAGGACCGGTTCTCTGACCTGTTCGTCCGGGTGATACCAACGGTTTGTTCCCTGATGTTTACCTGAGATCTTTCAGCCTGGAGTTTGAGGTGAGCCAGTCCTGAGCGCCGGGGGCCTGTTTAACGGGGTCAGGGCTTCTGTTACACACTATTCTCTCGTATCAATGCACTGCTTGCTGTATAACAAAGCAAGAAAACCTTTTTCACTTCCAACAACCAGTATACTTACAAAGCTCTGGTTGCACGGTAGGCATTTGTCAGAGCTGCGTTGAACAAATATTTAAAGAATGGCTGGATCGTTAAGTGACTCCTGCCAAACACACTAAGCACATACTGTATGGCCTTTATTTTCATGCCTTCACAGCGCATCATGTTTTCAGTTCTGTGGAAATAACTTGGATGCTTTTTGAAACATGTTGATTTACTCTTCTTATCTCTTTTCAAAATGTAAAATAAAAATATATTACACTTCATTTGTGTAATATCATTACACAAATAGTGTAATGATATGAATAAAAACAGTATTCTTCCACCAAACAATGTAGCTCCTCAGAAACAGTTGTGGTTGCTGTAGTTTTTGAATAATCTGCTCATCTCCATGACTTTGACATGATCTTTCAAGTCTTCTGAAGTCATGCAGTAACTTTGTGTAGGGAACAGGCTGAATTTAAGATTCTCCGTACTTCTATTTCTCGTTTTTTTTGTCTGTTTTTGGAGCTTGACAGACATGGCCACACTATAAACTGTCATCGAATGGAAAGCGCAGCCTGAACATTAATCCAAGTTTCTCCTTTTGTGTTTCATTGAAAAAAGTCTTTATCAATCTATACATTTTTATTTAATTTTTAGTTTAAGTTATTTTAGTACATCAAGTTAAACTAAAGTAAAATGAAAAATGTTGCCTCGGAAGAAATAAAAGGTTTTTTATATTTTATTTCAAGTAACAAAAATGTTTTGTGATGGTTTTCATTTTAGTTAACTATAATAATCTATATATTTATATTGTATATTACCATATATTGTATGCCCTAGTATTAATAAATATAATACATAATATTAATAATACTTAATAATCACTTATAATGAAGGAATATGAATTTAAAAAGTGCTACAAAACTATAAATCTACTGTATGTAAATATATATTGTTAATAAAAATAACAATTTGGTCCCTCGATATTCTCTTTGCCACCGTGAAATTTTCTCAGTCTCTCCAAGTGTATAAATACGGCCGGGAAGTAAGAAAACACACAGTCCATGTATTCTCAATACTTCGGGGAGGCATTCTCAAAACAGAGAGTGTTTTCTAACATATATATATATATATAATGATACAAAATATATTGTAATGTATATCAGTGTTATTTTAGTATAATTGAGATGCTATTATAGTTTTCATTCTTATTTAAATCAATTTAATTTTGAAATTAGAATTGAAATTAAATCAATTTCAATTCTAATTTGAGTTAGTGTTATTAATTTTTTGTGTATTTATATATATATATATATACACTGGGATTAATTATTCACTACAAGACTAGTAATGTGCACAGAGTGAATTTAGATTTCATGTGGACTTTAAATAAGATATAGTACACAGATAGATAGATAGTTTTTGATTAGTAGTTTTGGTTTGGTTAGTTTTGGAGGTTAACACACAGTACTGGTGCATTATGGGGTCTGTATGGCATGTTATCCAGTGATGAGTCTTACATATCCTGACCTTGACCTTCACTAATGACCATCAAACTGCTTTAGCTAAGAAAATCCTTATCCACCTTATTGTTTTCATAAGAGCGGGAGCGGCCAGTTGTAAACTTTATGCGTCTGGCTTCAGGTCTCATCCGCTTCCAGCTATTTTTAGCTGTATAAAACAGCTTGTTTTTTTGCATTGCATATTGGTGTTGCTTATCATATTATTTTAATGTATTATCTTAATTATGAACACACTGGTTTGTAGTGCAAACAGTTTCACCGTTTACTACGCTTCGATATTCTTCTCGTTATCTCCCTACAGCGGCGAATGAACCAGACTCGCACATTCACAGAAAGCGGCTTACTTCCGCACTGAAAAATAAGGTGGATAGTTGATCAAATATGATGATGCTTTCAGCTGCCAGTACTTAAATCCATCCCACAGATTTCTTCAAATCTTCCACCAAAACCAATGCAGAAATTACAAAAATAGTCTGCAGATGGCCTTATGAAACTACCAAAATAGCACAGTTATTAGCACAGGGCCAGGGAGAACATTCTTCTGAGTGGGCCCCGTTTGCCAGAGAGTAAGTTATTCCAGAGTGAAGCCTAATGAAAGTTCCCCTCATGATAACCCTGATGAGTACAGGTAGGGTTATGGACCCTTTTCACATTTCTGGGATCCTCAGAAGCCGTCATAGTTGGTAAACTCCTATAACGGTGAACGAGAACGGCAACAATATATATATGTGTGTGTGTGTGTGTTAATATATATATATGTGTGATAGTTCCCTCAAAAACGAAAATCCTGTCCTCTCATGTTGTTCCAAACCCGTGTGAGTGCATCTCTTCTGCTGAACACACGAGAAGATATTTCGATGAATGTTCAGTTCCGGTCCACTGTGGAAGTCAATGGCTACCGTCAGCGGTTTGGTTACACACGTTCTTCAGGATATCTTCTGTTGTGTTTAACAGAAGAAACTCATACAGGTTTGGAACGACAGGAAGGTGAGGAAAGGATGACACAGATGTCATTTT